AAACTTAGAAGCTTAGAAAAGCCACACCAGGTGGCCATCTAAAAGCACCCGCCCAATGACCAGGTGGCCATCTAAAGCACCCGCCCAATGACCAGGTGGCCATCTAAAGCACCCGCCCGATGTCCGTGTGGCTATCTAAAACACCCACCCAAATTCCTGGAACTCAAACAGAAGGACAAGTCCGGGAAATACCCCGCGCGGGTTCAAACCAGGTTCAAACCAACTAATCAGAGTAAGACACCCTGCTCAGGCCATAACCTGCTCCAATCATCTTGCGCCTCAAGCTTTGTGAGTTTCTGTGGTTTTTGCCTTTATAAACTGTCTGTACTAGGCATTCGGGGTCCTGTGGCCAACTTCGGACATAGGACCCTAGCGCGCTAGCAATAAATCTCTCCGCTGTGACTTCCGTGTCGAGTGGTCTCTCGCGACGACCCCTGCCCAGGAAGGAATCTAAAAACTAGGTTCCAACAAACTCATTATCTTCCTCTCTAAAGAGCATTCACACCCTGAATTCCCTAGCCTGGTCAAAGCTGTCCAAGTCAGAAACCAGAATGTTCTCTCTGATATCTCCCTTGGATTCCTCTGCCACCTACAATCTATCACAAAGTCCTATCCATTCTGCTTCTTAAAGATACCTTTTTAGTCTACACATTTCTCTTGAAACCAATGCCTCCACTCTAGTTCACTGCTGCTGAATTTGGGTCAAAACCACTGCATGTATCTCCTTGCTTCTAGTATTTATTTTACCCACTTGATTTTCCATACAGCAATCAAAGGAACTTTTTCAAAATTCAGATATGCTACTGTTCTATTTAAATCCCTTCACTGATTTCCCATTTTTATCAGGACAGGATCTGAAGTCATTGTAAAACGAAAGACCTCCATCCTAACCTATCTTTCCTTTTCCTGCATGTACTGTGAATGCAAACTTTGGCCTCCAGCTTTTTGTCCAAACAATTCCATCTACACAGAACAGTATTGTCCTCCCATAGCATAACTTCCACTGGTTCTTCAGGGCTTTCAGGTATTTGGTTTATTATTTTTCTAAGAATTCATTTGTAACTCTTCCTCAAGCCCCAAGTCTAGGTCATAATGTGTCCTTCAATTGTATGTTCACAGCACTCTGTACATATTGCTCCCAAGACACTTATCACTCTGTATAGTAATTACCTGTTTATCTGTCTGTCTTTGTCTATTTGATATAATCTTTCCAAGGAGAGAAACTTTATCTCCTTCTCTGTATAGCTCCAGGGCGTAAACATATCTCAAACATAATAGATGTTTAATCAACATTTTTGCAATGAATTAATGGCATGAAAATTAAATTTAAGCAATTTGCAGTATCTGATAATCTAAACTTCTTTAAAAGACATTGTTTACACATAAAAGAGCAGAGCAATATAGATCCTTTGTACAAAGGAACTAGGAATAAATGGTGTCTACCTCTAACAGTTCACAATCTAAAGTTAGATTGATTGCTAGGTATCCCAAAATTTCATACGTGATGACAATGACATCTATGAAAGAAAGATATATAAAATGAATTTAAATATATCTAACCAACAGGTAGCATGAAGCTTAGAAGACCAATAAGAATGTTATTAGATAATAATATCAGGGCAATCTGAGTTCATGTCTGGGGCTCCGTAATTTACTAGGCATGTGACCTTAAGCAAATTATTTAATCTCTCTTTTCATAAAACTATAATGGTTCCTACTTCATGAGTTATAGTTAGAATTAGCATCAGTAATATGTATGCAGTATTCTCAATATCTATCAAAATTCCCAATAAATGGTATTTACATTATATTACTCTACTTTTAGCACCTAGCACATAATAGGTGTCCATTAAACCTTTGAATAAATGTTTAAGAAGAATGATTAAGACAAAGTATTGACCAGGTGCGGTGGCTCACGCCTGTAATCCCAGCACTTTGGGAGGCTGAGGTGGGCGAATGACCTGAGGTCAGGAGTTCGAGACCAGCCTGACCAACATGGAGAAACCCCATCTCTACTAAAAATACAAAATTAGCCGGGCATGGTGGTGCATGCTTGTAATCCTACATACTCAGGAGGCTGAGGCAGGAGAATTGCTTGAACCTAGGAAGCAGAGGTTGCAGTGAGCTGAGATTGCATGCTCCAGCCTGGGCAATAAGAGCAAAATTCTGTCTCAAAAAAAAAAAAAAATGTTGGCTTGCACAGAATGATAAAGTTGGTATAACATGACAAGATGGGGAGGAATCACGTAATAATGTCCTTTATAGAGGGATAAGCCTCTAGTCTGGGCAATGTCTTCTGATGACTGAGAGTAAAGCATTTTTTCAGATATCCACATAAAATTACAAAAGTTATAAATGTTTACCATAAATATCAATGAGCATATTTGAAATTCTCATTTTAAAACATTTTCCAACAATTTTTCATAATTCAAAAAGTATGAAAATCAGAGGAAATTTTAAATACAATAGACTGCCTAAATAATTCTGGAGTTGAAGGAAAGGAAAACACCTGAGAGTCTAACCATATAATACAGAAACTTCTCATAAAAGAAATATACTCCTTTCTTAAAATACACTCAGCAAACACTCGGTACTTCCATTCAGTCCCAGACATTGCATGGATATTATGAACATAAAAATGTACACTAAACATTCTTCTTTGCAGCAACTAACAATTACATGTCAGAGATGCACAGATATGCTGAGAAGCAATGCAATGGTAATGAATTCCATGATATAGTTTTATACAGGTGAGCTGTGTTATAGCTGAAGTTTGTGTCCCTTCAAAATTCATATGTTGAAACATAATCCTCAATCTGTTGGTATTAAGAGGTAGAGCCATTAGCAGGTGATAAATTATGAGGGCTTTCATAAATAGGATTAGTGCCCTTATAAAAGAGGCTTAAGAGAGCTTGTTCATCTTAAGATGAACTCCTTCAGTCATGTGGGGACACATAGAGGGCATCATCTTTGAGGAATGGGGTCTCACCAGATGTCAAATCCACGCATTTGCATTGATGCATTGATCTTGAACTTCCTAACCACTAAAACTGTAAGAAATAAATTTCTGTTATTTGTAAGCCACCCAACTTATGGTATTTTTGTTATAGCAGCCCAAATGGATGAAGACAAGTTGAGACAACCATAGGGAAGAGTTAGGAAAGACTTCCCTTAGCAGATTACTCCTTAGTGGAGTCATAATGTTGTACAATGTTGTGAATGCATCTGAAGTCAAGATACTGTAGGCAGAAGAAAGGTGAAAATAGTATGGTGTGTATGAGTGCTACAAACTGTATGATGTTGGTGGAGTGGCAAGAGATGAGGCTAGAGAACAGGCAGAGGCTAAAGCCTGGAAACCCTCAAATGCCATGCTAGGAATCCCGGACTTTATTCTGAAAGCAATAGAGAGCAATGAAGTGTTTTTTGCATGGGAAGGATGCCAAGAACATATGTGCATCTTAGATAGAGCATGTATTTTCTATACTAAATATAGAAGAGGTTAGAAGTTCCTCCTCTCTGTTCCAATAGGAATTTATACCTAATGTTTATTCACCTTGTTAAAATGTTTTGCAACTATAATTGCATGTCTTTCTTTTGTTAGATAAGTGATTCCCAAAACTGAGTGTAGATGAGAATCACCTGGAGGAGCTGTTAAAACACAAATTATTGGGTGAAATCAGAAGCCAGAGAATTTGCATTTCTAACAAGTTCTAGGCTGATGCTAATGATACTTGTCCTTGACCATCTTATAAGAACAACTGCTTTAGACTACAATTTTGTCTTATTTTTCTTTGTTTCCCAACCATCTAGTTTAATGTCTGGTATTTAATAGGTACTCATTAACTATTTTCAAATAAAAAATAAAGGAATGAGAAAATTCCAAGTACAGGGGAAATAAATACATTAATCCAAATGATTCTTTGTCCTCTTAAACAGACATTACCCAAGATGATAAAAGTATATATGTTGGTAATATTGAGGAAGAAAAAATAAAGAGGGACAATAATCATGGTAGAGAGCTCAGTGAGGATACTGAAGACTTCCATTTTCTTTCCATTGCTTATATAAATAGAATAGCTTTGCACACACCATTTTACTTCCCATAGTGCTTTATCTGTGCCTTAGTTGGATGATTAAGTGGCCATTAGCGATACTTCATTGAATGGGCCCTTTGAAAAATGTCTTAGAAATAACTTATTTGTATAAAGTCTATTAAATTTAACTTTAAATTCAATACTGCAAATGGAATAAAAGTTTCAAATGCACTACAGCAAGAATTCACTCCCATCATGCCTATAAATTATTTTCTACTTGATAAATTATCTTACAAAGAAACTCAACATTCACTGTGCACTGACAATGCTATGCTTCACATATAAATGCTTCACAGATTGCACTTCACATGGGTGGATTATCTTCTATTTCAAAGGGTGAAGGACCCATGCTTGGAGTTTCTTCTTCCAGGAAGGGTCATGTTTATGTCAAGGTATGTACCTTTACTTTCTCACATCATACACAGTGTCTGAAGTTTCAAGAAGATATGACTGCTTCTTTGTTGCTATGTGTAGTTGGAATTTGTGACTTGGTTAAGGATAAAACCTGATTACCGTCTAGTATATTATAACTACCTAAAATCAATGCAGAGATACAATGCCATCTCTAAATTAAGACATTTCTTAGCAAAAATTTAAATATCCTATTAGTTATTTGTATACATTTGCCTGTAACATTAGAATTCAGGAAAAAAAAATTGCCTGAAATTTGATCTGCTCAATATGTACCCATCCCAGTAACAGAAAGTCCAACTCAGTTTGTGTCCAAAAGATGTTTCCTGTTTCCTAAAGATTATTAAAGAACACAGGAGCTTGTAAAACACAGAAAAAGGGAAGACTTTCCCTCTTTAGTCCATCTTATGGTTTGAATGATTATGTCTCCCTCCAAAATTCATATTGAAACTTTATTTCCAATGCAATAATATTAAGAAGTGGGGCTGTTGCCCCGCCGCCCACCAGCCAGCCATGAGCTCCAGGCAGTTCAACAAGGGCCCCTCGTACGGGCTGTCGGCCGAGGTCAAGAACCGGCTCCTGTCCAAATATGACCCCCAGAAGGAGGCAGAGCTCCGCACCTGGATCCAGGGACTCACCGGCCTCTCCATCGGCCCCGACTTCCAGAAAGGCCTGAAGGACGGAACTATCTTATGCACACTCATGAACAAGCTACAGCCGGGCTCCGTCCCCAAGATCAACCACTCCATGCAGAACTGGCACCAGCTAGAAAACCTGTCCAACTTCATCAAGGCCATGGTCAGCTACGGCATGAACCCCGTGGACCTGTTCGAGGCCAACGACCTGTTTGAGAGTGGGAACATGACACAGGTGCAGGTGTCTCTTCTCGCCCTGGCGGGGAAGGCCAAGACTAAGGGGCTGCAGAGCGGGGTGGACATCGGCGTCAAGTACTCGGAGAAGCAGGAGCGGAATTTCGATGACGCCACCATGAAGGCCGGCCAGTTTGTCATCGGGCTGCAGATGGGCACCAACAAATGCGCCAGCCAGTCGGGCATGACCGCGTACGGCACGAGGAGGCATCTCTATGACCCCAAGAACCATATCCTGGCCCCCATGGACCACTCGACCATCAGCCTCCAGATGGGCACAAACAAGTGTGCGAGCCAGGTGGGCATGACGGCTCCCGGGACGCGGCGGCACATCTATGACACCAAGCTGGGAACCGACAAGTGTGACAACTCCTCCATGTCCCTGCAGATGGGCTACACGCAGGGTGCCAACCAGAGCGGCCAGGTCTTCGGCCTGGGCCGACAGATATATGACCCCAAGTATTGCCCACAAGGCACAGTGGCCGATGGGGCTCCCTCAGGCGCCGGCGACTGCCCGGACCCGGGGGGAGGTCCCAGAATATCCCCCTTACTACCAGGAGGAGGCCGGCTACTGAGGCTCCCAGCTCGCTCTCTTCCCACATCGTCTCCCCGTCTGGGTTTTTGGATTTTTCTGTGTTTTCATCTTTGTTTTTTTCTTAGCCGGTTCAGTGCTGCCAATCAACCAAGGGTCTGTGAGTGGCAGTGTGGGATCAGGCAGCAGAGCTTTTTTCCCCTTTGCCTTGGTCCTTTGCAGGGCTGAGCCACCGGGCTGTGGGGGAGGGAGGTCAAGGCCATATCCCGATACGTGTAGGGCGTGTAGGGCGAGGGTCCGTGCTGGCACGTTCAGGCTGTGTTGGGGAGAAGAGACTAAACGGTTCCCAAAGGTTTCTGGTTGCTTCGCGTCTTCCCCCTTTTGTCAGCTGAGCAGTTTGTGGTTTCTCTGCAAGTTTCAGGAAGTATTCACAAAAGAAAAATACATTTTGTTTTTTATTCCTGAGGAATGGGGCAGGGACAGTGGAGAAGGTGCTGGGAAATCAATCACCTGGGAAAGGGGGCCCGGCCATGATGCTAAATATCTCCAGCTCCCGAGTGACTGGATTTCCCCAGGACCAATGGACCTCAGACCTTCAGACCTGCTCCGGGGCCAGGTGGGGAAAGTGAAGGCCGTACAAGGAAGTGAAATTCTGAGTTGTTGGTCTAAGCCTGATCCTCTCTCCATGCTATCCCCGCCAACCCACTCTGGCCTCAGTAGGTTTTGTTTTAGATGTGGCTGTCACCCAGGCTGGAGTGCAGTAGCGCGATCTCGGCTCACTGCACCTCCACCTCCTGGGCTCAAGCGATTTTCCAGCCTCAGCCCCCCGAGTAGCTGGGACTGCAGGTGCTCCACCACGCCCGGCTAATTTTTGTAGTTTCAGTAGAGACGGGGTTTCTCCATGTTGGCCAGGCTGGTCTCGAACTCCTGGCCTCAGATGTGATCCACCCACCTCGGCATCCCCAAGTGCTGAGATTACAGGTGTGAGTCACCATGCCCAGCCCCTCAGTAGGTTTTAAGGAGCCCCCAACCCTCCTCCTTTCTGGGCTCGACAAGCTATACTGCTCCATCTTCCCCTGGCCGCACGCCCCGCCAAGTACTGCACAGGGACCCCCACCCAGGGGCCCTGCTCCATGAGATAATGTGAAATACGATTGTGGACCAAACGCAATAAAACCTCTGTTTGTAAGAAGAGAAGGTGGCAGAGAAAAAAAAAAAAAAAAAAAAAGAAGTGGGGCTATTAGGAGGTGGTTAGACCATGAGGGTTTTTTGTTTGTGAATAGGATTGAGGCCTTTATAAGAGGCCTCACATTCCACTTAAGAACTGGGACAAGACAAGGATATCCACTCTTACCACTCCTATTCAGTATAGTACTGGAAGTGCTAGCCAGAGGAATTAGGCAAGAAAAAGAAATAAAAGGCATTCAAATAGGAGAAGGAGAAGTCAAACTATCTCTCTTCACTGACTATATGATTCTATACTGAAAAACCCTAATCACTCTGACAAAAGACTATTAGGACTGAAATAATTTTAGCAAGATTTCAGCATACAAAATAAATTTACAAAAGTCACTAGCATTTCTATACATCAACAACATTCATGTTGAGAGCCAAATCAAGAATGCAATCCCATTTACAATAGCCATACAAGAAAAAAAAACCCACAAATATGTCTAACCAAGGAGCTGAATGATCTCTACAAGCAGAACTATAAAGCATTGCTTAAAAAAATCATAGATAACACAAACAAATGGAAAAAACATTCTATGCTCACGCATTGGAAGAATCAATATTGTTAAAATGGACAAACTGCCCAAAGCAATCCTACTCCTGTTAAACTACCAATGTCATTTTTCACAGAATTATAAAAAATTATTCTAAAATTCAGCCAGGTGTGGTGGCTCATGCCTGTAATCCCAGCACTTTGGGAGGCCAAGGCAGGTGGATCATAAGGTCAGGAGATGGAGACCATTCTGGCCAACATGGTGAAATCCTGTCTCTACTAAAAATACAAAAATTAGCTGGGCATGGTGGCATGCACCTGTAGTCCTACAGTAGTAGGGAGGCTGAGGCAGGAGAGTCGCTTGAACCCAGGTGGCGGAGGTTGCAGTGAGTCAAGATCACACACTGCACTCCAATGTGGTGACAGAGCAAGACTCCATCTCAAAAAAAATAAAATTCTAAAATTCATGTGGAGCCAAAAAAGAACCAAACAGCAAAGCAATCCTAAGCAAAAAGAACAAAGCCAGAAGAATCACATTACTTGGCTTCAAACTCTAAAGTTAGAGTAACCAAAACACAGCATGGTGCTAGTACAAAAACAGACACGCATACCAGTGGAACAGAACAGAGAACACAGAAATAAAGCCACATACTCACAACCATCTGATCTTCAACAAAGTCAACAAAAATAATTCAGTAAATGGTGCTGGGACAGCTGGCGAGCCATATGCAAAAGAATGAAACTGTACTCCTACCTTTCACCATATATGAAATAAACTCAAGATGGATTAAAGATTTAAATGTAAGACCTCAAACTATAAGAATCCAAAAAGAAAACCTAGGAGACAGCATTCTGGACATAAACCTTGGGAAATAAACAGCTTGCAGAATGGCAGAAAATATTCACAAAATATGCATCCAACAGAGGTCTAATATCTAGAATCTATGAGGAACTTAAACAATTGAAAAGGCAAAGAAATAAATCCCATCTAAAAAATGGGCAAAAGACATGAACAGACACTTCTCAAAAGAAGACATGCAAGTGGTCAACAAACAAGAAAAAGTGTTTCACATCACAAATCACCAGAGAAATGCAAGTCAAAACCACAATGAGATACCATTTCACACTAGTCAAAGTGACTATTATTAAAAAGTCAAAAAACAACGGATGTTGATGAGGCTGAAGAGAAAAGGGAACATTTATATGCTGTTGGTGGGAATGTAAATTAGTTCAGCTACTGTGGAAGGTGCTTTGGAGATATCTTAAATAATTTAAAACAGAAATACCATTCAATGAAGCAATCCCATTACTGGGTATGTACCCAAAAGAAAACAAATCATTCTACCAAAAAGACATATGCACTCACATGTTCATCACAACACTATTCACAATAGCAAAGACATGGAATCAACCTAGGTGCCCATCCATGGTGGACTGAATAAAGAAAATGCAGCATATATACACTGTAGAATTCCATTCTGCTATTTTTTAAAAGTGAAATCACGTCGTTTGTTGCAACATGGATGCAGCTGGATACAATTATCCCGATCAAATTAACACACAAACAGAAAACCAAATACTGCAAGTTATTACTTATAAGTGGAGGCTAAACATTAGGTACTCATGGCCATAAAGATGGCAGCAATACACATCAGGAACTACCAGAGGGGGCAGGAAGGGAGGGGGTAGAGTTGAAAAACTAACTCTGGGTACTATGCTCAGTGCCTGGGTGACAGAATCATTCACACCCCAAACTTCAGCATCATGTAATATACCCAGGCAATAAAAGTGCACATGTACTCCATGAATCTAAAATAAAAGTTGAAAATAATGAGTAAAATAAAATAAAAGAGGCTTCACACAGCCTTTGGCACTTTTGCCCTTTTACCTTCTGCCACATGAGGACACGGCATTCAAGGTGCCATCTTGGAAGCAGAGACCTGGCTATCAGGCACCAGACCTGCTGGCACCTTGATCTTGGGCTTCCCAACCTCCAGAACTGTGAGAAATAAATTTCCATTATTTATAAATTACCCAATCTCAAGTATTTCTTATAGCAGCACAAATAAAACTAAGACAGTCCATAATGTGTATCATTGAAATGCTTATTTTCCAAGTCACTCAAGAGGCGTGAAAAACCATCTCCCCCTAAAGCATCCAAATATGCCAAGCGCAATCACAGACCCTGAGCATCTGTGGCACTGTCCCTCCATTTCCATTCTGAGGTTCTAATACTGCCATTACTGAACTGCCCCCAACTACATCCCTCAAGTCCAAGGGAATACATTCTACCTCCCTGGATTGTATTACTCACTTCTTCCCCTGCTTGAATCACCAGCTTTAATCCAACTCTGTACCTAATAACTCCAGGTTATTTGTTTGATGGGCCTAATTCTCTGTAACAAAGCTTAATTGATCATCTAGTTAGTTTTCCTTTCTCAACCAAGACTTTCAACACATCTACATCAAACTTACTTCAACCTGGATTAGTGCAATGGTCTCCTAATTGTTTTCCTTACTGCCTCTTTCCTTTCAATGATTCTTTCACATTTTCTAGGTAATCTTCTGGAAACATATAACCGATTATTTTAGAACAGAGTAAGCAAACTATGACAAGGTGCACAGGCCAAATCTGACCCTTTTCCTCTGTTTTTAAACCACTCTCCAACCCAGAATTGTTTTTACATTTTCAATGATTGCAAAAATCAAAAAAGAATATTTCCTGAGATGTGAAAAATATGAAATTCAAATTTCTGTATCCATAAATACAGTTGTATTGGAATACGACCATACTAATTTATTTATATATCATCCATGTCTGTTTTTGTACTACAATGGCAGAGTTGAGTAGCAGAGACCATATGGTCTGCAAAACCTAATGTATTTACTATCTGGCCTTCTACAAAAAGAGTGTGCCAACTCTTATCTTAGAGCACTATTGGAAAAACATCAATGAACCACAATAGATAGTTTGAAGTTGAGATCTTCCCCATGAAGTGACCTTATTATTACTATATATTTTTAAATCTACTAAACTATTATTAAGCTACTTTAATAATAGGGTTTAACAATCTTATCAGATTAAATAATCTTATTATTAACATTTATTTATTCATCCCTACCTTTACCTTTCCCCTGTCTTTCACACATCCTCAATACCCAATTCTGTGGTCACTAGTCCTTACCACTTCCAAAAATTATTCATTTTTTTTCTCTTTCGACATTTATTTTAGAATCAGCTCCAGTTTTTAAATTTTTACCACTGCTGTTTATTTTTATTCTCCCACTTGTCTGTCCTATTTTCATTTATCTTTAAGATGCAATATTTGTTTTCA